CCTACAAACGTACCGACCTTTAGCTATCTTTGAATGAATTTTTTTATTCTTCGGTAGGTGTGTTTGTGAGTGAAATCCTCCTAAATGGTTGTACGGATTTTAACGAAACTTTTTGTGTATTTGAGTGGGTCTCTGGATGGTTTAGTTTCACAATTTAATCCGACAGATGGCGCTGTGGTCGAGTTATTACTAAAAATCTTATTTATGATCCGATTTGGCTAATGTTTTAAATATGTATGCAATACTATTGCAAAAACGTGCTGCCAAGTGGTGCTGAAGTCGAGCTATTACTAAAAATAGCCAAGTGAGAAAAGGGGCCGTGAAGGTCAGATTAAATCGACCTGTTGCACCATTAAGTATATCGAACGCTCCTGCGTTGCAATTGGCCCAATGGATGTGATTTTCCAATATTATTATGCGTTCAAACTTTTAAGGTATTTCGTCTGAAATAAGTATATGTATATTGCATTTCTGTAGAACAATGATTCGCACCCATTTTGAAATTGCCACCTACTATACTGTAAAGCTTCTAGGACATTCACTATAGAACCGGGTCATTGTTGCCGCCAGGGAGTGAAGAGGAAAAAATTTATTTCGCTTTGCGAATAACCGTGCTATGAAATGCCGCACAACTGGAGAATTTCAAGAACGGATATAACACTTTCCTTAGGTTATTTAAAGCGGCAAATGACCACCAGACCTTAATCTTAGCAGACAAATGTGCCAATGAAAATCGTAACCGTGAATTGTTGGTGAAAATGTTGGACCAAAAAGTTTCAATAAAATATATAAAAATTTTGGGCGGGACGAAGTTCGCCGGGTCTGCTAGTTTTATATATACCTCAATAACAATTGATCAATAATTAGTATGCATCTTACCGGTTTAAAAGAGAATTTCATATACATACGTATGCATATATCTATGATATTTTCTCTTAAATCGGTAAGAAACATATAAAATTGAAGTGTGTATAAAATTGTTAATCACAAAACATAAAAGTGCTCAACATACGCGTGTTGATGAAATAAAAAATAAGATAACTTAAGCGTAAAATTTTCAGATTCAAGTACTTACAAAATATTGCATACACCCTGTAGTTATCATTGTCTGCCATGCCTCGTAATCCTTTAAACTTTGCTAGTGTTGCTGCTTTATTTTCTACGCATTTTCTCATCTCCAATAAGCTGGATTCCCCAATGTTTTCGTATAAATTTAGATTGCCATCCCAGAAGTAAGGAAGCTTACATTTCTGAAGACTTGTTTTTAAATCGTTAAATAGCTTTAAATAAACAAAAAAACAAACAAAATTATTACAATTAAATATATGTGAAGGCGAAAGTTAAAAGGGAGCTACGCACAATACTGTGACCGAGGCAAAAAAGCGAAAAATTTGCTGTCTCGAATATAATCGAATTCACTATAATTTGTTAGTCTCTAGTGAATTGATACCTACGCCATTCTCATTAGGCTCACCGTTTGTTTCTCTCGCTCTAGCTCTCGCTAGCCTCTAATGTTACAAGTGCTGCCGCTACCACCAATGAAATGGCATCTATATCTGTGGCTTACGATCCTTGAATGGTTAACGTGCCCGCAGCCCCTCAACTGACAATGTCTTCTTTTACAACATCGGGAATTCCACCTGTTGCTCCTAGAGATGTGACTGCCATCGCGCCTCGTAGGACCGTTTTTGTATCTCGCTCGTTGACTGAAGCTGATATTATTCATTACGTGCGCTCTAAGCTTTATCTTACACCTACAAGCAGTATCGAAGTTTATGAATTTAACTTAAATATGAGAGAGACACTTCTTCTTTTAAAATATCAGTTCCTGACGCATATGTTGATAGAGTACTTGATCTTTCTGTTTGGCCTGACCATTCTGTGGTACATCTGTATAAAAGAAAATCATATATTGAACCTCCAGCAGTAAAGAAGTCAAAAAACTCTAAAGGCAATACCGTAGGAACATTACAGACATGAATTCTAATTCGTTCAGTCTTATTATTCACTAGCAGACCCGGCGACCCGGTATTCTATCATTCTTGATCTATATCTATATCTATACTATCTATACTCTATACTAATTATATAAAGAGAAGTCCCTTTTTTTTGTAACAGGTAATCTCTCGAACGGCTGGTCCGATTTTCATGAAATTTTGTGTAAAAATAGCTTTCGCCATGTTTTAGGATAAAAAAATTTTACTTTTTTCGGGTAGGTGGACCAGGGACCGGTCTATTCAAAAAAATCTTATTATAGTCCGATTTGCTTAAAATTTAGTACGTAAGTAGCTTTTTAGCATATATGACCCATTTTTTTCGGGAAGTGGACCAGGGACCGATCTATTCGAAAAAATCGAATTTA